TATTTATTGTATTTTAAACTTATTTTTTGGACATATATATGTATATAAATTTCTTTTATATCAGCTTTCTCATAATATTTTCATAGATTATATAATTATATAATATTTTTTTATACAAATATACATTTTTAAATTAATTTAATATTTTCCCTAATTTTTCTATATGTTTTCTTTATTTTTTAATATATTTGCAATTTATTTTTATTAATTTTCATAAAGTTTAAATTATTTCATTGCAATATTAGGTTTATTCGCGTCGCATGCTCTAATATGTTCCAATATGTTTCTACAATAGCACTTACTCACTTCAACGAATTCGTTGAATTGCGATGTGAATAAATCTAGTGAGTTTTGCGAGGAATTTTGACAGAGTGAAAAAAGGATAAAAAGAGAAAGAAGTTTAGGTGGTAACCGTAGCAACGCTAGGTAACTTACTTATTTCATGAGCACTCCATTTTGGCCAACACTAACATCAAAGGTGCCGACAGAGAGAGTTGCGCTACTGTATATACTGTGGTAAAGGGTTGGGATATCCATTAACATTCACCCTGTATATCAAAGATCAATGTATCAATATGAACTGACACAAGAAGGTAATGTATATATGCTTTATTATCCCTAACGAAAAAATTTCTATGCTGAAGTATGCCAAAAATTGTTCCTAAATATATGGTTTGGACACTGAAGTAATTGAGCGTAGAATTCTACTCCTATGCCAAAGCCGATTTATGGTATTGTACTCCAAACAATGCTAAATTGCGGCAAACTACGCCAGAAAATACGCCTAATTATTTTATATTCGAAATGCTGCGCTCCTTATATTCTTTCCCAGGTGATTCTTATTTTCGAGTTTATGCATCTCTGCCGTAGCCCTCTGTCGGCATATTTAAGATGTAATTAATGACATCATTTATGATGTCTTTACAATGTTATACTAATGTTATACTTAATGACATCGAATAAATGGCCAATTATCAACGTACTAGTAATATTATTAATGATCAATTAATTATGTCATACATTTATTTCTTTAATAACACGAAAATAATGATGTATTTTTTATGTCAGTTTAAGACATTGTGTGAGTGATAAAAAATATATAATATAAGAATTCTCGTCATTTTTACGATGTTTGGACGACATTTTAAACATCACATTTGTCATAAGAATGACTAATTAATGACGTTAAATAGACGACATCTTGCTACTTGGGATACTTTCTCCGAATACTTACAAAAAATGAAAATCAGTTCAGAGAAGTTCAGCACAGAAACGTAGTTCAGAAAGTAATGATCATTAGTTGTGCGTACTTTGACATATAATACTTTCTGTACGCCTAACTAGATCCAAGTACGCCATTTAACAATTTTCACGTAAAAATAACTTGGCGTAGTTATTTCTATGTTTAACGATGTAATTCTGTGCCATTGTCATAGAAGTAGAAATGCGTACTTTTTCGCATACTTTAGCATAGAAATTTTTTTGCCAGAAATCTATAAGAATAATCCATATCATTTATAAATTTATTTTGACTCTTGGTTTCGGATCTTTTTCAGTATAGAATTTTTCACAAATATTCATCTACTATAGTATATTATAAAATCGCCGTAAAGTTAATTTTTTTTAATAGTACAATTAAAAAGTATAAACGAACGAGACATCAAATCTTCATAACTCGTCTAAAACCTCATTAAATTACCTGATTTACTGTATAAAAAATATAATATCGAACAAATTACGAATATTACGAACATTCATATATTTTTCAATTGTACTATTAAGAACAATTAATTCCACAGCGATATATATATATATATATATATATATATATATATATATATATATAATGTTATGGGCAGAAAGATAGCGATACTTTTTTTTCTATGATTTTTATGAAATACTCAAATATTTTCACAATGCGATTCACCATCTATCGATGAGTGTGACAGCGGTTATGTTAAAGTCATACCGAATAGAAGTATGGTGAAGTTAATCCTAGTATGGTATTGTTATTTTTGATTACTTTCCCACTAATATTAGGGTTTGTGAAAACCCTGCTGCTACCTTATTATGCTATACGTCTGGACTGAATACGTATTTTTTAGCTCAAAACATGTGAAATTTATACCTCGAAATCAGATAAAGGCAGATAAATATGAATAAAATAAAAAATATTTTATTTTCAATTAATTACAATGCTTCAAAAAAATTTTATTGAAAAAATTCGCAAAAAAATGACTATTTTAAATAAAAAATTCTCAAATTTTTTAATTTAATGTTCAAGCAAAAACCCGTAGGATTTGTTTAACTCTTTTTTTTACCCTTTGCACTAACAAAAAAAAATAGTACGATATGAATCGCTCAAAAAGGTATAACTATTTAAATTATCGACATTTTTGAAAGATCTACATATAAGTTTATAATTAATAAATAAAATTTTATTATTTGAACAATTTAAAATAATAGATAAAGGATTGTACATGTATAAATATTATTATAATATATATGTATAATTAAGTTTATTAAGATTTAGTTTAGAGGATGATGCAACACTCACTCTAAAGCAATAAATCCGCCCTGGCCGGGGAATCTCCAAAGTCTGACAGAAATTATAAAATTCCTACTATTTATTATATTGAAATATAAATCTTTTTAGTTCTACATTTTCGTGTACTTACTTTTATACTAACCGAAGCTCAATAAATGTATATTTATAATAATATAATAAATAATAAAGGAGTATTCAGAACGCCGAAAACTTACAAGCTAATCACATGTTGTCCCAAATACTCTTTTTAAACTTTCGTGCATACTCATATTGAGAATAACGCAAAAAAAAAAATCTTTGCAGGCTTATCATATCTATGGACAGTTAAAGTTTTTTTTTAGCCACAATATATTCGGATTTTTAAATTATATTACAAATAGGTTACAGCAATATAAAAAATCACATAGGATACGTTGAACCCATGAATGTCATATTAGGGTTAAAAAACATATCTTGTGCCCTGCGGAAAAATACTAATTGGCAATTAGATATCGCAAGATTAGCATAAGTTTAACAGAGTAAACCAAGTAGATAAATTTATTATGTAAATTTATTTACATCCTTTACACGAGTTTAACATTAATAATTAATATATGATAACAAGTAATGAAATTATAACGCGTAATAAAATTATATAATAGTTTTTATTATATTATTGTATATAATAATTTTTCATGCAAATTATTTTTAACCGGGATTCTAAATACAGAATAGCATTTTCATTTTCAGGACATTTTTGTGGACAATATGTAGAGATGGCTACTTAGCTGAGTTGTATCCTGATTTGCAGCCTTGTCATAAATTTTCCTGTTTTAAAATGCTTGCGTATAAATCAATCTCAAGTATTCAATTTATATTTATATCAATTTATATTTAAATATATATTAATATATAATAATTATTATAATTATAATAATATAAAAACATTATTGATTGAATAAAGATAATCATATAATGGCTCAATAATAATAAATAAACATAAATAACAACAAGCCAGTTTTTTATGTATTTCAAATTTTTAGAACATACTTACTTAGAACATACATATTTTAACCTTATTATTAGATCATCCTTAGTGTACATGTAAAGAAATTCAACATAAATTTAACAAAATTAATAAAATAGTTAAATACAATTTATAGTTACGCAAAGTTGGTAGTATTTCTTCGTATCTATTATCTTCCGCAATACAATTATTAATACTCGTATATATAATGCACTATTCAGTCTAGTAATATTATCGGTTATATTCTTCTATTATATCGGTCGCAATAAGTCCATAATGATGATAAAATTATTAAACATGATAAATTATTAAATAAAAATGTACCAGCACACATTCTCTACTACAAGTGGTAAGCCAGGATATAATCAGTAATTGAAACAATAAGTCAAATCAAATCACAAGAAGCAAATGCGATCAGAGATAAAAATTGAAAGTTCGGTGCAAAATTGCTTGTTATTATAGATAATATACTCGGAAATTTGAGGATGATCTAATAATAAGGTTGAAACATATGTTCTAAGAAATAATAAAAATCTGACTTGTAACTCCTTCTTGTTATTTATGTTTGATTACTGATTAATATAAAATTTAAACTAGAAAAATTATAATCATTATATTAACATATAATTTAAGTATAAATACTTTAAATAGATTTATACGTGAGCATTTCAAAACAGGACGATTTATGACAAATCAGGATGAAACGCTGCCAAGTTGTCGTCTCTATATATTATTCGCAAAAATGTCCTGAAAATGAAAATACTATTCTGTATTCAGAATCCCGAACAGTTACATTTTGCATAAAAAATTATTAAAATTACTATATGATATATAATTTTATTACGTATTATAATTTTATTTTTTTGTTAAATTCTTCTTATATTAATTTTTAATGTTAAACTCGCATAAAAGATGCAAATAAATTTACAAAACAAATCTAATTGGTTTACTCTTTTAAACTTACTCTATCTTGCGATATCCAAATAATATTTTTTCGCGGTGCATAAGATACGTTTCTTGATTTCACTATGTATACTTCGATTTTGTATGACTTTGACAGCTGTCATATAATCGCTCGTCACACGCATCGATAGGTGGTGAATCACATTCTGAAAATTTTTGCGTATTCCAAAAATCATCAAAAAAAAAGTGTCGCTACCTTTCTGCCCATGATTGTACAATAAATGAATATTTGTAAAGAAATTTACACTGAAGAGGATCCGAATGAAGAATTGAAATGTTTGCGAGTGACATAGATTATTCCCATACACACACACGCACGCACGCACGCACGCATGCACACCATAATTAATAAAGTATATACACATCAACTTCCCATATCGCGCAATTTATATTGGCATGTTCCAAGTTTGATTTAATTCATCTGAGCCTGAAAAATTCTTAATATATATTATATGTGTATGTATATAGCTAAAGAAGTTTTACCATTGTTAGGTTCATCCATGGGGTTCTTGACATTGAGTGGCGCAAGAACGGTTTCCAGCATGTCACTGCATACTTGCATACTAGGCTCGACAATGAATTCTATGAATCCTATTTGAGATTCAGCTACCAACGTATTATTGCGATCGCATAGAGGAGAAAATGGCAATCCAAGCTTTCTTTCTTTATCACCTTGTCTGAAAAACTCTTCAAGAAGTTGCATTGTCCATCTGCATGAATCGAGAATTACAAATATTATTATTTTAACATAGTTTTGTTTCTGTTTTTATTAGAATATAAATTAATAAAAGAGAAATCTTGATTACAATTTATCAGTTTACTAGCAAGAAACCTTTTTTTCTAATTTTTTTTATCTATTTATACTTAGCTTTTAATATATGTAAAAATTTTGTAAAAATTATTCTTATTATTTCTTTGTCGCTATAATAATTTCTAACAGGACATATTTTATCAAAATTAAAAAAGAAAAAAATATTAACATTCTCTTTGAGCAATAAAGCTTCACCTATTATGAAGATCCCATCTTTTGGCAGGATGCGAGATATCGCAACAATGGAGAACCAAGCTAACAGCTTTGCTCTTATCCACGCTTGGCTCTGCCAAACTTAGTAAATTTTTCATATTTTTTAGCTGTTGAAAATGAAAACTCATGTCGGTGGCAAGAACCATATCAATCACAAGCGATCGAAATTCTCGAAATTCCTCTCTTGACAAGTTCTGTAGTATGTTACAATCATCTTCTCTGAGTATCCTAAAACATGCAATTTTATGAGATGTTAATGTAATCTTACTATAAATAATGATAATATTATTTTGTTCTATAAAGCTATTTAAATAAAAATAAATTTTGAAAAAAAAACGAAAAGAAAAAATTAATTATTGATTGATATTACAAAATATTTAAAGATATTAAAAATTTTACCTTAACATTTGTATAAACTAATTTTTAAAGATAAGGTTACTTAAAATCCGGTTAAACTGCGAACTGTTCGAGACTGCAATAACTACCGCAAAATAGAATTTGCATATACCGAAAGCTGGCCGAAATGTGATGATTTTCTAGCACAGCTCGATCGTTATATAGGAGCGCTGTATCACTACCAGACATTACGTGGAAATTGTTTGTGGTCCCAGTATGCTCGTAATCATGAATAATCGCTGCCACAAGGGTAGCGAAAATCTCGAGATCGGTCAACCAATTCTGCAACGAATAATATCAACCTGAAGCTATCTCGCGTACAATGCACATCGAACAAAGAATCATTAAAGAAGTGGCAGACTCAAATGAATAGAAGGGGTCCTTTCTTTTTATCAAACTCATCAACAATTCGAATCGATAAAACTCTTTTTTTTTTTTATTTGCGGCTATCTTATACCTATGATTTCTTTCCTTTTTTTCGATATAAAAAAAATAGCTAAAGAAGATTATATTAATTCTTTTTTTCAAAAGAGTATATATTTATACACGTTAATAGTCTAGATTATATATTTATTAGATAGTAAACTTAATTCCTGCCGCTACTAGAAGGCGCTGACTCCAACGCTGACAAGTTTCGACGATGAAGTCGCAATTCGTATGTCTTTTGTATAGTTTAGACATTGTTGAAAGTAGACCTGTCCTTTTTGGCTGAACTTTTGCACCTCTTCTTTTTCTCTGCAGGAGGAAAGAAGAGGAAAAAAGATGAACTAGTGCAATAGTTCAGCCAAAAAAACAGGCCTATTGATTCAGTCTTCACAGGCAGCGTTGTTGTTTTTTGATGATTTTTCACTAATTTAATAATTTTTAAGATCTTTTGGTGATTTAGTAAATTATTTTCTTTATTTGGTGAATTTTTATATCAGCGTCCACTGCTCTGCTTATTGGTCTTGTTTTCAATTCCTCATTGGATCTAGATATTGGAACATATATATTAACATAAACCGATCAAGAAAATCGATCTTAAAATTGTGTTTTCTGGCTAAACGCAATCAATTTAGTTATATGATTTATATAGAGGTTTCATTTTAAATTTCACAGATTAAAGTGTAATGAGTTGTATTATCAATAATTCTATAATTGATTTATTAAAGTTATTTTTTTTTAATGATAATGGTACATGGAGAGAGATTGTTATAATCTTATTATATATTAGATCCGATTGTTCCACCTTTTGACAAATTTTACGCATTAGGTAAGTAGCAAAATCATTCAGGGTCGATTGTTCCATTTTTTGGAACATTTTTAAATTTTATCTGTGATAAAAATTTTATCTGAGATAAGTCTGATAACCTGCGCATGTGATTGGGTAATCTTGCTACTTACCCCACAGGTAAAGTTTATCAAAATATGGAACAACCGGTCCTCAAGCGCATTGCTAGAGATTTATCTAACACGTAAAATTTACCGAAAGATGATGATTTTTGGAACCTTTTAGTGAATTTTGAAGCGGGGACTTAGTGAAATTATTTTTTGACCAGCGGCAACACTGCTCATAGGTTAGATTTCTCGCGATACCAAAGAGATTTCCCAATCAATTGAAAATGAACCGCGATAAGCTATTCTTCCGATGTGTTTCTTCAGTATTTCGACCTCAAGAAAACCACAGCTGAAACATCGCTTATTATCCGAAGTGATGAAACTTCTTCGGAAAAAACCATGTAGGATTCGATTTGAACGCTTTTGAAATAATGATTTTGTCGTGAGTAATAAAGAACGTTCGGACAATCGAAAAAATGTCGAGCTGCAAGAATTGCTCGATGAGAATCCAGTTCAAATGCTTTGTATTCATTCATTTTAGATATTCATTCATTTTTTTCCCTTCGAAACTAATCAATTTTGGAGACAAAAAAACGGCAGGAATTAAGTTTACCTACCTAATATATCCTAATATGTCACAAATACATATATGCTAATGAAAAGTTTAACAAAACTCATGAAAATAAATTATTAATTAATTTAATTAATTAGCTCGTTATGTAATCAAGAAACATCTTTATTGTTCTTTAATTATACCATAAGTAAATAAATACAAAGTAAGGTCATAAAAGTACTACGTACATATTCTTCTCCTCCTTTCTACCCTCCCTCTTCCTCTCTCCCTTCCCCCTCTCTCTCAGAAAAGTACTCACCATCAAACCCGTTTGACACAAGATGTAATGCATCGTTTGTGCAACATCAGCAGCGTGGAGGTTGTTGTGATATGGGTTTCGATGCCTGCAATAACCCTCTTCAACTCTTCCGAGGAAACACTCCAAAACTGCAGGAGGTACTTTAAACTTGTGAATCATACCATATCGATTGAGGAGATCATAGCCCAGGTATTTCACTGGCGTCCCCAGAGCGGCCTCGTTCAAAGAAAATACATCGAACGACCAATCATCTAAAGTCTTGAACAATAAAGAAAGCAATTTGAATACTTAAAATTTCAAGAATTCTTGATCTTAATAATAACCTGATCGATCCTTGATTGATTAAATTTTTTTTTTCGTTGGTTAATAGTCAATAGTAAACAAGTAATTTCTGATTGAAAACGAAGATGTATAAATTAAAGTTTCCAAAGTATAAAAAACGCATGTAAGTTACAGCTAGACGTGTGTGTGTTCTGAATTTTTCTGAGTGTAATATTTATGTTTACGCCATAATATATTTATCGTTAAATCACATCATATAAAGATACATATATTTTTCAGCTACGCGACAGATTACCTTAAGTACTTTTACGACTTCCGGCGGAAATTGCATGAGGGCAGTGTTCGTAACTCTCCTATAGATTCGATCGACAAATATGCCTGCCCTGATAGCATGAGCGACCGAGCGGAATTTCGGTTTCTCGTCAGCTTTCCGTCTAGTGGTGGCGAGTTGCCTAGTGAAAGTCGATGCTAGCCATTCACGCACTTCCGGTGGTACCGCATCTGGCTGCACTTCTGACAGCTCGTCATCTTCATCCGCTAGTCGTCTATAGGAGAAAATTATGGGAAGTGACGTTATAGATCAGCGACGAACTAACTCAGTTCGTCGTTGATACATTTGACATAAACAAAACGCCTACCTTTGCTACACACGATCGAATATCAAGTCAAGATACTCAATGTTTTCAAAAATCATTGATCATTATACTGACTTCTTTAAAATCCGTATTTGGGTTTACTTCACATCATTACGAACGAGAAGGAAAGACTGATATATGTTCTTTCATATTGGCTTGTTATTTGACTTAACAATATATTGGATTAGTGGAAAAAAAAGTTTTGCGGATATTTTGTTAACTCAAAATTATATATACAATATTTTCGTTAAAAATAATAAAAATTTAAAAAAAGAGTTTTAAAGTTTGAAATTTGTACTTTTGAATGGTTACTATATTTTTTTAATTTATATGAGTTTTGTAATTTTTATATATAAAAAACTAAGCTGATAAAAAAGAAATTTTTCTTCTCACTTTGTGGATCTGTCATGTGCCACAAAAATTTGCGAAAATTTTCGACTATCTAGATATATCGTGAAAGTTTGGAGTTTTTCTTACAAAATCGTTTTTGAAAACGTTTCTACGATTTGTTGTTCTTGGGTTATTTACGAGTTAAGTGAAAAAGAGTATTCTGACTTTGATTGCTCATAATTCTATTACAAATTATCGTACTGTAATTAAAAAACCAGATTCTTAAAATTGAACGTTGCTCTATAATACCATATTAATTTTTTTTAATGTAAAATATATAGAAATTTGAGTTAAAAATGTTATATTACCTTAGTAATCATTGCGCAATGGAAAAAAAGACAGTAATATCACATTTTTAGCTCAAATGTGCATATATTCTGTTTTTTTTTAAATTGGCAATTACATAACTTGATTTCAGCTTTAAAAATCTGTTTTATTAATTACGATAATTTATAACAGAGTTATGAGCAATCAAAATCAGAATGTTCTTTCATTTTATCCGAGTATAACTTAGTAATAAAAAGTCGTAAAAACATTTTAAAAAAAAAAGCATTTAGGAAAAACTTTAAACTTTTACGTCAGATAATCGAAAATTCCGCAACAAATATATTCTGTATATAATTTTGATCTAACAAAATTCCGCAGAATTTTTTCTCCAACCTAATAATTTGCGCTATCTAGCTATTTTATGTTCTTTTTACGTTATAAATGTCGTGAATTGATAGATAGCCAGAAATGTAATTTGTTTAAAAGATTATTGTGTAATGATTCGTGAATCAATTTTGTATATGCGGTAAAATAATTTTTTATTGTTCGCGAATTATAAAAGCAAATTATAATAAATTGGATATATACATTCGGAAAATAATCGATATTCTACTATATTCTACTATTATACATAATTACATATACAATACTCTATAAGAATGTAATATATAGTATATTTACAGCTACAAAAAAATATTTTAAGATCAAATTTTCTAATACACATATTATTAAAGTATTTTTTTACTGTTTCATATATAAATCATCTTATATCGAATTTTCTAAACGTATCAAGATTCTATATTCTATTCAATTATATAATCCTAACTCTCACTTGCTAAAATAAATGCCTTAAATTAGTATTAAAGTATTGGCAAATATTTTAATTAAGTTATTATTTTAATATACATTATACAATTTCATTGAGGAAGTTAAGTGTGCGAGTTATAAGTATACGAATTGGAGAGGAATATTGCATTAAGAAAAGCGAATTGTGATGGGAATGAGGATGTGTAAAAACTAAAATTTAAATAAATCACTACGATCTTTTAAGCATATTTTATGTCTCCTTGATCTCAAACCTGATTCGATGCACAGATCGCAGCAGTGATTTGATAACAGATTCGAGCAAAGCTCTACAACAATTAAGTCAATTATCTTGCCAAATAATTTTGAAAGTGTTCCTCAGTGCTATTAATGTGATTGCAATAATGATGTAAACAATAATACTGCAATAAAATGTATCGCGATTTTGTTTAAAGGTACATTTTCGACGTATATATATTGATCTTAGATGTGAATTACAGAAATACAGAAAAACCTTGTAGAAATTATTGCCAGTGATCAGGTATAGAAATTTGAATTAATTGGTGCTATTAAATGAAAATAACAAGTAATTAAAACAATTACGTATGTGTAAAATGTATCATAATTGTATACAGAGTTAACTAATTATAATAAATAATATAATTAAAATTCCAGACTAAGTATTAAGTAATTAATAGATTTCAGTTATATGCAAAAAAGCTTCATGTGTTTGCATGCGCATCATACGCTACTAAAAGTTGTGTTAGGTATAAAATTTCAGAGCCAATGTAAACAATGCATACATAACACACACACACACACACACACACACACACACACACACACACACACACAAATAAGTTTTTCTTTCATAAATCTCATAACTTTCAAATGAATTTTCACTAATACATATACACTACTTAGCGAAAAATTGTATATTATTCATTTTTTATGTATTAAAAAATATCTATAATATAGTAATATATATTTAAAAATCTTGATTAAATATC